AACTAAGTACTAGCATAACGAGAATCAGAAATTCAAGTGGTTAACTTATTGTTTAATAGGGTGATCCTGGTTAATTCAATGCAGGTTCTTTTTAATGCTACTCATGCACATCACAGTATATCTAATGTTGCAACAAGTGCCTTTTGCCTGCCTATAAATATAATAAAGAAAAAAGTAAAGTTTCCTAGGATCATTGAGAGATGAATGGACAAGAACAGTTCGCCGTGTTATTCTGTGCTGTAGGTGTCGTTCTTTTTTCAATTTGGCCACCTAGTAACAAAAACAGTTTCGTTTTACTGGATATCGTCATCAGAAACGAAAATAAACACTTATTACACACCAACATACTTTAAATCTTAAAAATAGCTATAGGCGTCTTATAGACGGAGCGGGCGGACCGCATCGCACCGCAAAACATCACATGTTATGCATTTTGTATGAAACGACGTCCATTGAAAATGCCGCCGCGTTTTCTTTGTCCCTCCCCGTTGTACTTTTAAACGGAACGCACTTACATATTTTAAACAATATCAGGGAAAGGGATAATAAGAAATTAGTATGTTTATATAGATTTTCATTTAAAATGGTATGTAAATCTTTAAAATTGTAAAACATGCGAAAATACTCTAATAATTTTTTTAGAACATTCTGCAGATCAAAGCAAAAGTGACGTAATTCAACATCTTTTCAACAATCTTTTCTTACATAATATATGCAAGAAAATATTGTTGAACAAACATCAAACAATATGTTAAATAAAAAATTATCGTCAGAACATTACATTGACCACATTACCGTACGCTCATTCGTCGTTCAGCTACGAATATCGCCAAAAATCCGTCTACGCGGCCCGCTCCGTCTCTAAGACATCCCCTAGCCTCGGAAGTAGCTCATATATCTCGACTCATATAGCTCGAAGAACCGACAACCGATGGAGAAAAAAGGTTCTCGAGTGGCTGCCCCGTAACAATAGGCGAAGTATAGAGCCACCCCCCACTAGATAGACTGACGACCTAGTAAAACATCCAGGAATTCGATGGATGCAAGTGGCTCAGGACCGTGTGGCATTTCTTGGGGGAGGCCTATGCTCAGCAGTGGACTTGTGAAGGGCTGTAATGATGAAATATGAGCCTCGGAATTGATCCTGCGCCTGATTTCCCTCCGGTTGCGTCGGTTATCGTCCTAACGGGCTGTGCGAGTTAGGGAAAAGAAAGTGCCTTTACTTGCGCATACACTCGCACAGTACAATCCTGTCCTGTACAGAGGGCTAGTCTCCGTTAAGCCTTGCCGTCGTGACCGAAATTAGCTCCGAAGGAAATTAGTTTAACTTTATATGTCGTAACTGTCATCACTCGAGATGAGTTGTGTTGAAACAACCATGCTAACTTTCAGTAATGACCCAACCGTCAGCACAGAATAAATAATAGTACAATAACAGAAGGATCACTCTCTAATAGCAAACTTACGAGTTTAAACTTAGTTACAACGTCGGTAATGTTCATAATATTTTGCAGGCCTCGGAAGTGACCTTCATGAAATTAGCCTACCGTCGAAAAAAAGTTATACGGCGCGCATATTAAATCAAAATGCACCTATCGTCCGCGTGCGAGTGTCTGTATCAATTAGCCCGTTACGCGTCTTTGTTAAGGCCGCCCCTACTGTAGAGTTAGGTGTTGGGTGAAAACAAATTGAATCCTTTGATATTAGTTGGTATATAGTAGAATAAACCGAGGTGTTATGCAATTAAAATTGAAATAAAATTAAAATTTATTTATTTCTTTTATCAAGACATAATAATAAAATAATTGGAGCCTCCTAGTAAGTATAAAAGAATACCTGTATAAGGAGACATCGCTCTTCCTAATGATATTAAATATTGAGATGTGTGTGTGTGTGTGTGTGTGTGTATGTCATCATCATCATCATCATTACAGCCTTTCATAAGTCCACTGCTGAACATAGGCCTCCCCCAAGGAATGCCACAAAGCACGATCCTGAGCCACCTGCATCCATCGACTTCCTGCATGTCTTACCAGGTCGTCACTCCATCTCGTGGGGGGTCGCCCTACACTTCGCCTACCGGTACGAGGCTGCCACTCAAGAACATTTCTTCCCCATCGGTTGTCGGTTCTTCGAGCTATATGGCCGGCCCACTGCCACTTCAGCTTACTTGGGCTATGTCGGTTACTCTGGTTCTACTGCGGATATCCTCATTCCTAAGTTTATCACGCAGAGAAACTCCGAGTATAGCCCTCTCCATAGCTCGCTGAGCGACCTTGAGCTTCCTCATACGGCCAGCAGTGAAGGACCACGTCTCAGATCCGTAAGTCATCACTGGCAACACGCACTGGTTGTACAATTTCGTTTTAAGATTTTGAGGTATGTCTGACGAGAAGATGTGTCGTAGCTTCCCGAACGCTACCCAGCCGAGTTGAATCCGTCGATTGACCTCTCGGTCGAAGTTGGACTTACCTAGTCGGACTATTTGTCCCAGGTAAACATACTCGTCAACAACTTCGAGCTTAGTGCTCCCAACATCTACCGGCATGGTGTGACATGGACATTAAACATAATGTTTGTTTTGTTCATGTTCATCTTAAGACCTACCCGTTGGGAGACACTATTGAGGTCATTGAGCATAGTGCTTAGGTCCTCCAGCGATTCTGCCATAAGGACTATATCGTCGGCAAATCGAAGGTGAGTGATGTACTCGCCATTGATGTTAATACCGTATCCTTTCCAGTCCAGAAGCTTGAAAACGTTTTCCAATGTAGCGGTGAAGAGTTTCGGGGATATGACGTCACCCTGTCTTACACCTCTCTGCAATTGGATAGGTTTCGTACTCTGGTTCTGTACTCGGATAGCCATCGTAGCCCTACTGTACAAGCACTTCAGCACTTCGATATACCGACAGTCCACTTGGCACCGCTGAAGGGAATGCAGCACCGCCCAAATTTCGACGGAATCAAAGGCTTTCTCATAGTCCACATACGCCAGACATAGTGGCAAATTGTACTCTTCGAACTTCTGTACAATTTGCCGAAGGGTATGTATGTGGTCTATGGTCCTAAAGCCCTTTCGGAAACCGGCTTGTTGGGGAGGCTGGAAGTCGTCAAGTCTGCGCGCGAGACGATTCGTAATGACTCTCGAAAACAGCACGTAGACGCGGCTCAGAAGGGAAATCGGTCTGTAGTTCTTCAAGAGAGCGTGGTCACCTTTCTTGAATAACAAGACCACCGCACTTCTGCTCCACGCCTCCGGTGTAATGCCACCATGGAGGACGGAATTAAAGAGCCTCTGAAGGACTTCAAGTACCGGTCTTCCACCCGCTTACAGAAGCTCCGCTGTAATTCCATCCTCGCCTGGGGCCTTGCCGTTTTTAAGGTGCTGGAGAGCCATTCTAATCTCGCTCAGACTGACGTCCGGGATATCTTCGGAATAGTGTCGGATGTGTGTATATGTGTGTGATTGTATGTTTTACAATTTAATTTTTTATTTATTTAATTTTTTTTTTGCAATGTGCGTTTCTTTTATTTTTTTTGTTTTGTTAAAAAACGTTACTTCAGTACAGGATTTTCTCCTGTATCGTGGAGGCAGTTAACAAACATAAATTGCAAAAGGACAAACATCTAGACCCGGAACGATTATTTGTAGGCCATATAAATACTTGTTCCGTGCGGGATTCGAACCATTATTTATATGGCCTACAAATAATTGTTCTGGGTATGTTCTAAGTAAACTCATGTGGCAATGAGAAGTGCTGCTGCTTGCAATCTCTTTCTTTTATCGACCAAGTGTTAACAACCAGTATATGTGATCTTGCATTTGTAAGCAGTCACTAGTACTGGGAGGTCTACTTATAATGAACTTATTTTTAAGGTTTTTGGCATTATACGCGAAAAAATCGAAAACTGCAAAGCTGTGGTCGGGTCACTAATCACATAATAAATCTGTAACTGTGACGTCACTAAGTACCTAATTATCTAGATCTACCTATAAATAATAATATATTACCTTTCGGTATCCTTAGGAACAGAATGAAAAGTTGACATTCGTATTGTTATTTAAGCTCCCGTATGCTATGCAGTACCTTTTGGCTTTTTGAGAGGCCATACTTGAATAATAGCTCAAAATTAAAAATATAAAGTCCCTAAATACTTATTAGAGAAAAATATTTTTTATGTTAACAAGGCGCGCGTCAGTTCGAGCAGGCGCCTGACAACGTCACGGAATTTGCCCCGCATACGGGGCCGCGCAGCGTAAGTATATTTTCATGCCTAAAGCGCGGAGTGAGACAGGCCTGCCGTCAGTTAATACAAAAAATAATGACTGCATAGATATTGTATGTAATATGTCAACACGACTGCATTTTTTAAATACCTATATAAAATTTTGTAAAAAAAAAGTTTTATGTTTTACTTCTCCTATCCTTTCTAAGTAGTATTCTTAAGTATTGTTTTATAAATCAAGTAATTAGTTGAGAAAGATATGACAATTTAAACAAATGTAAGTTTTATACAAATAGCCGTGTATAAGCGGCCTAAGGAAATCCACTACCTCGTATCACCGCGTCGGTCTCGTAAGAAGTTGCCTCTAGCATATTTAAAACTATATATATATATAAAAATAGCAGCTCAACGCTGCTGTGTTTCGTATGGTGAGTGTAGAGAACCGGAGACCCTTTTTACCAGCAAAGAGGCATTCCATCTTAGTCCTCACGGGTGACAACGCATCTGCATCTTGAGTCTTTATTGAGGATAGATGTAGATGTCTATGGGTCACAGTAACCACTTACCATCAGGTGGACTGTGTGCTCGTTTGTCACCCGATCCTATAAAAAAGAAACTGGAAGTTACAACAGATAACTCACATATTTGATATCACTCCCTATCACCTAAAGCAAAATCAAGCAAATCACCAAACAATGAGTCGCATCAATTCATGGGTATAAGAAAAAAATGTAAGTAAAATCTAAGTATCAATTTATTTAAAAAAAAAAGTTATCTAAAGTGCAAAACCTGGTCTCTGTAATTGAAACTTGTACAAATATCAATTTCGGGGCTGGATCCGGCGATAGCCAACAAATTGTTCGGACTAGTGCGCAGTATCGCTGAATAAACCGTTGTAGCAGATACCGGTAACTCTACTTTAACTTCGCCGGAGTAACTCAGTTGATACAAATATTTAGCCGCCCCGCCCGCTACCACACAATCGTCATGAAAGAATGACACGTGTATGCCATGATCCGGGATGTCGAAGACCGTCACAGCATCGAGAGACCGTAGATGCCAGAGCGATAATCGAGGACCGCCGCCACAAACCTGAGGGAAATAACATATCACAGTAAATATGAGTATCACAACCATAAGTAATAACGCATCAGGGCATATTTGATATTTTGATTTCATAATTTAAAAAAAAAACGTTACCCCCACATATTCTCCTGTGTCGTGGAGGCAGTTTACAAACATAAATTGCACGAGGACAAACATTTAGACCCGGAACAATTATTTGTAGGCCATACAAATGCTTGTTCCATGCGGAATTCGCACCCGCGACCCCCAGCGCAACAATTCATTGCTAAGCCACTGCGTCACGGAGCCATCAAAATATATATATATATATATTTTTATTAACAGTATAATAATTTGTAAAAAGTCAAAGTTACAGCCAGCCAGGAAATGTCCAACATGCTGCTCCATATGATTGATGTTAAATGACTAAATAAACAATACACCAAAGGAAAAAAAATACATGCGTGAGTGTCGTGAAACACTAGGTTGGAACGAGGCTCCTTTCATAGTATATGATTATTGATAAACGTATTATATTACTAATTAACAAATACAAATAAATGAATTACTAGCGTCTATTAAAATGAAGCGACATTTAAAATAATATTTCTTTCATGGCAAGATAAGAAAAAGTGGAAAGGGGATCGTGACGGAAAAATCTTACACTTTTTTTCGTCTAGCCCCCATCTGTCAAATTCGTACCGTGCGGTAAGGAACTTCGTTCCAAAATTACATTTATATAAAATGTCTTTGGATACTACTTTGACAACAGGAAGTTGTCAAAGTAGTATCATATAAAGCGGGACAGTATTTCATGCCGGCACACCGCCTGCAACTTTACAAGGCGCAGGTTCGGCCTCACATGGAATACTGTTTCCCATCTCTAGGCAGGGGCTTCCCAGTGCCAGCTCCTTCCACTTGACCGCATCCAGCGCAGAGCGGCTCGAATCGTCGACGACCGAGTCCTTTCCGATCGGCTCGATTCATTGGCACTGCGAAGAGATGTTGCATCCCTTTGCATTTTCTTTCGCATCTACCACGGGGAGTGCTCTGAGGAATTGTTCGGATTAATCCAAGCCGCCAAATTTCACGAACGCACATCGCGGCAGAACTCCCGATACCATCCATACCATCTGGATGATTGGCGGTCCACCACTGTGCGATTTAGAAGATGTTTTCTTCCTCGCACGACTTCTTTGTGAAATCGATCACCATCAGCGATTTTTCCGGACCGATACGACTTAGGGACCTTCAAGAAAAGAGCCTACTCCTTTTTAAAAGGCCGGCAATGCATCTGCAATTCCCTCCCTGGTGTTGCAATGTTCATGGACGGCGGTAGTCACTAACCATCAGGTGAGCCGCATGCTCGTTTGCCCCCTCTCCTATAAAAAAAAAAACAGTCACTGAGCATTTTAGAAGTAAACTTATGGCAGTAAGTATATATTTTGAGGAAACCTGCTGACTAAAAGATAACAAAGGAATGTTTTATATATATAAACTTTCCTCTTGAATCATTCTGTCTATTGCTGAAAACCGCATCAAAATCCGTTGCGTAGTTTAAAAGATATAAGCGTACAGACGAAGGGAACCAACTTTGTTTTTTACTTATGTAGAGATGGTAGGTATATATACCTAATCAGGTCATAAGTATTGTCACACAGTAAAAACTTTTCTTTTAGAATGCTGGCCACAAAAAAGTTTATTGAATTCGAATTTCGAATTGTTCATGAAAATAAAACTGTATACTTTTTAGAATTTTACTCATTTTTAAATATAGAGTGGAGGCTTAAAGAAGACCGTGTTGCAGTTATTGCGTTGCATCGTTGCGGTTACGCGCCAATTCAAATTTTTGACTACTGAAAAATTTGAATATAACCAAAAGATTCGTTTATCGTACCATCAAACGATACAATGAAGACTCTAGTGTAGATGACAGGTCAAGAAGTGGTCGCCCTCGGTCTGTTAGGACTCCAGCAGTGATAAAAGCTGTGAAGGCGCGAATTCAAAGAAATCCCAAACGTAAGCAGAAACTGTTGGCCCTTCAGATGGGGTTAAGCAGAACCACGGTGAAAAGAGTGCTAAATGAAGACTTAGGGCTTCGGGCATACCGAAGAAAAACAGGACATCGTTTGAATGCTCGTCTAATGGACCTGAGACTGAAGAGATGCCGCGCTTTGTTGAAGCGGTACGCGGGAAAAAAATATCGGGAAATTCTTTTTTCGGATGAAAAAATTTTTACCGTAGAAGAGAGCTACAACAAACAAAATGATAAGGTGTACGCACACAGTAGTGAAGAAGCGAGCAACCATATTCCGCGTGTCCAACGAGGTCATTTTCCATCCTCGCTCATGGTATGGTTGGGAGTTTCTTATTGGGGCTTAACAGAGGTATATTTTTGTGAGAAAGGTGTAAAAACGAATGCAGTTGTGTATCAAAATACAGTCCTGACGAACCTTGTGGAACCTGTTTCTCATACCATGTTCAATAACAGGCACTGGGTATTCCAACAAGATTCGGCGCCAGCTCATAGAGCGAAGAACACACAAGACTGGCTGGCGGCGCGTGAAATCGACTTCATCCGGCACGAAGACTGGCCCTCCTCCAGTCCAGATTTGAATCCGTTAGATTACAAGATATGGCAACACTTGGAGGAAAAGGCGTGCTCAAAGCCTCATTCCAATTTGGAGTCACTCAAGACATCCTTGATTAAGGCAGCCGCCGATATTGACATGGATCTCGTTCGTGCTGCGATAGACGACTGGCCGCGCAGATTGAAGGCCTGTATTCAAAATCACGGAGATCATTTTGAATAAACTTTAGTGTCATAAGAATCTATGTTTTGTTAAGTTCATTTTGGTATATAAATGGTTACATAATGAATAAACTTGTTTCAATTATTTTATATTAAACATGTGACAGAATTTATGACCTGACTAGGTATAGATATAGGATGTGATCTATTGGAATCTTAAGTATTTACTTAACTTGCATTAGTTATTACATCAATTTTTAGCTAAATACTTTTCATACAATACAACCTCTAAGCACACTTAACAATGTCAACTCACAATCCAGTCATCTCCTAAGCTAGCAGATCCAATCCATTTTCCAATATCAGGTCGGGCAACTTTAGCATTGGTATGTGGTTCCAATTTGTTATGTGATTTGCCAGTCCTAGTGTCCCATAACATAACCAATCCATCTTCACCAGCAGAGATCACTTGTTGGGCTCTAAAAAATAAAAAACAACTGATGGTAATTGCATTCTATACTACCAAAATTAATTTCTACCAAATCAATGTCACCAATAAACCTCTTAGCACTCCATTTCACCGAGTTCAATTATTCTAGGTGACTTTTTGCCACACCAGTCACCAATAGATAGCGAGCATATTGAGATATTAATCTCCAGCAAGAACACAGTTGCAGAGAGAAGGTGCCCCTGAGAAATAAATTCCTGAGAGAACTAAATTTCTGCACATCATGTTCCAAAAATCAATATTTTTTAATGTTTAACATAATAGATTTTGTTTAAAAAAAAGGATTGAATAAAAACAATGACAAAGATCAAAGCGACACACATACATTGACTAACTGTTCCCCGCAACTTCGCTCGCGCGTGATTTATTACGATTGGATTTCATGGGTTTTAATTTTTTGCGCGGAACCCTAATTCTTTTTCTAAAATAAAAGTAGCCTAAGTTACTTCTTATAACATCAGCTATCGTTCAGTGAAAGTCCGGTCAAAATAGGTCCAGCCGTTTCGGAGATTAGCCGGAACAAACAAACAGAGAGAAAGACAAAAATTTTAAAAATTGTGTTTTTGTTATAAGTACCGTATATACTGTCATATGCATATAGTAAAAAGCTGTTATTTCGACGTTACAAACAGACACTTCTATTTTATTTATTTGTATAGATGTATAGATTAACCATTGGGAATGCGTGGCATCTAGTAGATACGAAGGGGCAACGTCTCAGGTAAATGCACTATGACAGGGTTTATCACGGCAGCTTCCTCCACTCCTAGCTGAGTTGGCGACGCGCTTAAAAAATAGTTTATAACTAGCTGGCCAGGCAGACGTTGTTCTGCCCTTTTCGACGACCCTTCATATAAAAAATCCATAAATTCGTAATAAAAAAATATGAGTGTCACTTGTCAGGACAAAAACTATCCTATCTCTCAAGTTTGACCAAACTACACAGTGTGCAAAATTTCATTCAATTCAGTTCAGTAGTTTAGGAGTTCATCGCGGACAAACAACGTGACAAGTAATTTTTATATATATATAAAGATTTTTCATTCCATAAAAATAAATAATTTTGTGTTTCAACGTGGTAGAGCCATGCTGCAGCTATATTATGGTTGTAGCACGAATGGGTCGGCTCGACCGAGGAAGGACCACGCTCTCACAGAAAACCAGCGTAAAATAGCAGCTTAACGCTGCTGTGTTTCGTATGGAACCGGAGACCCTTTTTACTAAAGAGGCATTCCATCTTAGTCCTAGCGGGTGACAACGCATGTGCATCTTGAGTCTTTATTGAGGATAGATGTAGATGTCTATGGGTCACAGTACCCACTTACCATCAGGTGGACTGTGTGCTCGTTTGTCACCCAATCCTATAAAAAAAAAAGTTATTGCTATTAAATTATATAAGGCATTCCGAATAAAGAGATAATCTGTGTTAAAAGTAAATAGATTCAATATAATGTCGACCGAAAGTTCGGGGTTCGATTCCCCGGTCGAGAGTTAATTCCATGAAAGTTGTTTATAGATTAATTTAGAGTCATTTGTTACATAGTAATCAGCTGTGCAATACGAATAAAGGTTTTATGTTTAATTAGATACTTATTTTAGATGAAAATATATTTTGCTCTTGTAAACAAATAATGTTTCATAATAAACAGAGATAGTTGTAATTTAGACAAAGAAAGCACTAGCCTCCTACTGATATGATAAGGGTCGTGTAGGAATTGGTTGATGTTGTATAGGATCTAAACAGGGTCTAAATGATTTACCATAAAAAAAAAAATTATTAATTTGTGAAAATTTCTGTAAAGTGAGTAGAAATAAGTAATAAATGTTTCAGGTTTACTAAATGTGTTAATAAGATCAGTACTATGTTATAAGTGTCTAAATTTGTGCTTAAAATAGTGAAATAATAATAGATTTATATAACAAAATTAATGTTGTATTAAAGTGCAAAATTACGAAGATAAAATCACTGTTTCATTTTCTACTGCACCTTACAAATTAGATGAAGATACAGTCCACTACGTGATGTCAAGACTGGGAACATTCCAAAGGGACCCGTTATCTCAGCTGTCTAACTTTTCTTTTCCGAAAGGGCAACAGACGTTCTTGTGTGACACTCCTTCACGGGGTCACGCCCACCTCGTTGTTCCCGAACCCAATGTTGTGTGATTTCTGTTTCATGGGGTAGAACGTTGTTGAATGTCTAACCCCTGTCTGTTGGATCCTTTCAGTTCTATTTGGTCCTTTGTAGGTTAGTTAATGCATGACTATTTATGTTATGACTGTTACCTAACTGCTAAGACATTCGTCAATGAAAAAAGAAGAGAATAATTTTTGCGTGCTTCCTCGAACACTGAAGTTCTTCCTATTTTCTGCCGACTTCCAAAAAGGAGACGGTACTCAATTCGACTGTATGTTTTTTTATGTGTGTTACCTCATAACTTTTTACTGGGTGAACCGATTTCGATAATTCTTTTTTTATTTGAAAGCTGGTACTTCTCGTGTGGTCTCATATGAATTTGATCAAGGTCAGACCAATAGTTTTTGAGTTATTCTTAATAACTTATATTGAAGTCGGCAGTACAAAATTTTTAATTATTACTTTCTTTATTCTTCTTTTGAAGTTCTAAAATTATTACTTGATGATTAATCTGTAGCCGGTGGAAGGAAAAGGGGAGATCTCCCGCCTGGCAAGGTGTTCTGTCCGGGGAGCGGCCAACGCTCCGAGTGGTAGTTCGGAGCTATTCTATATATACTGCATTATTTTCGGAACTTTGTTAGCGCGATTTAGGCTTCGATGTGTTTCGCTTGTGGGGCAACAACAGCGCCGCCACATCACCGCCCTGCTCAGACCGGAGGTCGATAGTGCAGTCCGATTGCAATTGCCAGGGATTGCCTTGTAGTTTGCGGTGAGTCGAGAAGAAGGCAAGTAATCTGCGAGAGTGCCGTGAAACAGAGGCGAGCAGTAAGGTTCAGAGCCGTGCCGAACACTGTGGCGCAGAGAGTAGCTTGATGGAACAGGAAGCATTATTATTCCAGTGCTGCGATAAACCTTTGTAAAGCTAGATGGCTTGCAGAATGAGAAGACTGCAGACAATATCAGCTCGGGAGCGAATGAAGCGAATGAATGGGGTACTTGAGGATGATGAAGGTTTGAAGGTGTAGTTTCCGAAGGATGTTGGTTGCGTGTTCATATCACGTCGGGGTCACCACTGTGGCCGGTGGAAGGATAAGGGGAGATCTCCCGCCGGGCAAGGTGTTCTGCCCGGGGAGCGGCCAACGCTCCGTTTGGTAGATCGGTGCTATTATATATATACTGCTTTAATTTCGGAACTTTGCAAGCGCGATTTAAGCTTCGATATGTCTCGCTTGTGGCGCGACGCCACAAATTTATTAATCTTTTGATCTCTTTATTTTTTATCTTGTACTTATTTGTTAATTTTATTATTTGCATGTTCTTACTTATTTTGTTCTTACTTTTATTTTCTACGTGGTAGAGCCATGCTGCAGCTATATTATGGTTGTAGCACGAATGGGTCGGCTCGAACGGGGAAGGACCACGCTCTCACAGAAAACCAGCGTAAAATAGCAGCTTAACGCTGCTGTGTTTCGTATGGTGAGTGTAGAGAACCGGAGACCCTTTTTACTGGCAAAGAGGCATTCCATCTTAGTCCTCACGGGTGACAACGCATCTGCATCTTGAGTCTTTATTGAGGATAGATGTAGATGTCTATGGGTCACAGTAACCACTTACCATCAGGTGGACTGTGTGCTCGTTTGACACCCGATCCTATAAAAAAAAAATTGACCTATTTCTTAGTAGACACAAGAAAACAGTTACATTTTCTTAGAAACTTTTTTATACAGCAATGCTTTCTACTCTTATATTTTTATTTCATAATTTAATTCAATTTCAAAGACTGTTTATTATATATTGTATTTAACATAATTAAAAAAAAAATCTTGGTTACCCTTACAAGAATTATAAGTTTAGAAAATTTGGCTCAATTAAACATTTATAATTCTTCCAATCCAATAAATGTCATTATTAAAATAAAACAATATTATTTGTTCAATACAAACCATTTTAATGGATGATTGTATATTTATTTATTGAGCTTTAACCCCTGTTTTATCTCATTGTATGCTCATGCATACAGTGAGATAAAACTGGGGTGAGTGGAGAAAAGCGCACGCTCTTAAGGGTTAAAGAAATGAGCATAACATGGATTCATAGAAAATTTTCAAAGATGCCTACAGAACAACATTTGGTACCATTAGACTTTGGTCAGTAATACAGTAACAGGTTTTTAGATTTGTTGGGTAAACAATATATGAATTCTTTGATAAATATATTGTAGCTCCACTCTGACTGACATTGAAACTATCTTTGTTTTGCAAAAGAGAGCCATAAGAGCAATTTATAACCTAGGTACGAAGGAATTTCTTAGAGAAAAATTTAAAGAGATAAATATATTAACTTTGGCCTCTCAATATATTTACGAGAACTCATTGTATGTACACAAAAACAAAAATAGTTTTATTAAAAATAGTGACGTATATTCTGTAAATACTAGGAACAAGCACAAGTTAGTTATACCAGTTACTCAACTCCAAATGGTCAGTAATTCCTTCATGGGCCAATGTATACGCTTTCACAACAGTCTCAGAAAATATGCAGACCTTTTTTATCAAAAGGTTTAAAATTATTTATTAAGCAAAAATTGTCTAGTAAGGGTTATTATACTACTAACGAGTACATGACTGATTAACCCCTGGGAACGAGGTCATCACTACCATGCTGTTTCAAAATGTTTTCATAATAATTGTATTAAATATTATATTGTAACAAATATTATATTGTAAATTGTGCTTTTTAAAAAAATAGTCCCACTAGGTTTCTTGCTGTTTCTTTCCAGGACAGAGGTTTTTTTCAAATCAGTGGTAAAAGTAAAAATGACTCAATAAGTATTATGTACTATAATCTATATTAAACAAAAATGATTCTATTCTATTTTAATATTGGAGGTCCACAATAGGTCTGCCAGCCATCGTGTCGGCAATGCCGAGTAGAGATTCAGCTAAGAAGATCTTGTTAGATTGCTGTCTCATTAGACTATAACCATAAAGGATTAGAGAGTTCACTTGAATTTATACACATATTTATGCACTATAATTCTATCCTGCACAGATAGTTGATCTCTGTTAAGAATTTTTATTTAATTTTACACGTACACTGGGATTTTCTCCTGTATCATGGAGGCAGTTTACAAACACAAATTTCATAAGGACAAACATCAAAACCCGGAACAATTATTTGTAGGCCATAAAAATACTTCTTCCCAGCGCAGCAACTCATTGCTAAGCCACTGCGCCATGGAGCCGTCTGCTGAGAATGACCGCAATGATCAAAATTTCCTGCCAGTGCTGCTATATGGATGCTATATGGATATTCTGCTGTACTAAAGGAGTGTTTAGCAATAATTCAAGCTAATAATCAGAAGCTTAACCTTAGCTTTTCACTCATAAGCCAAGTTTCTTTTTTTGTTTCTTTATTTAATAAAATAAATGATTTTATTTTTCTGTACTACTTTTTTAAATTTTATGTTGTAATTATACATTTTCAACCAACTTCAAAAAAGAGGAGAGGTTTACAATTTGTCAGATTTTTTTTTTATGTATGTTCTCTTATTACTGAGATGTCTGAACTGATTTGAAAAATTATTTTTTTGTTTCAAAGGATATACTTCCCAGGGAAAAAAAGTTCCCATTGAAATTTTATCGAAAACATTTAAATTTTAATTTTTATAGTGAAGTCGATTGGACAAAATTTTTAAATTATATATAGTAATAGTAAAAATAAAATAGTAAAATGACAGTGGTACTGTCCTTTTACAAATTACTAAACACTTTTTATAGACTTACCTTCCATGTATGCTATGTATGTAATCTTTATGACCATCAAATGTATTTACTAGTTTTCCATCTTCTAAGTGGTATACATATACTTTATTGTCGCCACAAGCAGCATATATTTTATTTTCCTCTTCAGCATACCACAAGCTATTAACATCAGTTTGTTCAAAGCTTGATTGTGAAGTTATTTTAATAACCCAAGCGGGTTTACTTAATTTAGAGTGGACAATAGACTTCCAATCCCATCCAGATATTTCATTGACAGTGCCAACAATTAAAAAATTTTCAGTACTTGCTAAACTACATATCTGGGCCCCGTTTCCCAGTAGATGCAAATGCTTGGGTCTATTATAATCAGGAGTAAGTAACTCTATTACTGGATGTAGAATACAGTCAAGGCTATAAAAAATAATATAGTATGTTATTGTTCTATTTTATATGAAAGTTGTATTAAATAATATAATAAAAACCTACTCAAATACCGCAATTTGTCCATAAATATTACCGGCGATTAAATATTTACCACAAGGCGAAAATGTTTGACATAATACAGTGTTATATATTATTTTATCCAACATAATGTTAATTTTATCCCAAGCTTTATCCCTTAACTAGCTACCTTGCTTATTATGTATACTAAAAACTACAAATATATATCTAATGTACTCTGTGCTACAAATATATGGAATATGGATTTACTTTTACAAAATAAATACTACAGATCAATGACCAAATTCAAAACCAAAACATAACCTTATTGCACAGAATGCACCACAGAATAGGCATGAGACCGATATATCAAAACGTAACTAATAACGTTATGTTATCAAATATCATATCATATCGATAAACCTAAGAACATAACCGTTATCACATATCCAACCAAAACCCAAAATCAACTAACCAACGTACGAAACGTAAAACGCAAACTGTAACGATACGCCAAAAACCGAAAACGGCCCAAAACCAAAACTAACCGATGTCCTTTGATATTCGTTGTTTCTCGTTCTAGCGACAGTATCATAAATACGTATGAAAGAGATGAAGCGAATATGGATTTCTTTGCGATGTTTTGGTTGTTATCATAAAACGGGTCACGTAGTGAAATATAGTTATAAGAGTCTTAACAATAAGGTCGACTTTTAAATGGTTAAAATTACCTAATGTTTTAAGTTTGTGTAGTTGTGAGAGTTGTCAGATTTAAATAATCTTTAGGACATTAGGCACTAGACTTAGATTTGTTTCATCACATTATATTTCGTTTAGGCAACTTTTGTTTACAATACAAACAATTACGCACTTGACATTGGTGGCGTGTGCCTTTCACTATGAAACTATCTGTAAAATTATTAATTTTTGACGTTGCGTTTGTACATTTATTTGTAATATTTGTTTGCATTTTGTACATTTGTTTTAAAACTTTCCTGTCAGTCCTAAGCCTAGTTAAGTATATGAAGGCAAATCGCCAACATAAAGAATCATTATAAAAAATAATGATTATTAATATAATAAGAATAAATAAACTATGTACCTATAATAATTTCACATATATATATATATATATATTATGTTATAATTAATAGAATCAGGCGTTACTTTGCGGAAATCCATTATATAAAAGGTTTTACAAAAATTTACTTCGCAAACATCCGCGTTATAAAATAAAATGATGTGTCTTACCTAGTATGAAGAAGCACCTCCCGCCCTCCCTCAATTGCGTGCACTATCCCCGTCACCACTAATCCCAGCACTGCTACTCCCAACACCACTACACTAGGCAAGACACACCACTGACGATAATACGACACGTGTTTCGCCTCTACACGAGGCATCCTCAGGTGATATAGACTCTACGGTGGCTAACCGCTAAGTGAGCGGCGAGCCAAAACAAGTGCCTTTTATAAAAATCGATGATGCAACCGCTCTCTACTTAAGGAGTGAGCGACTGCGTCATGCGATAAAATATGCGACCAATCACCGCTGGACTTACGCAGCTGGTTGTAAATTTAAAAACAAACCGCCGCGCAGCGCCCACATTATTAGAGAGCAGGCTTGAAGATATTTAAGAGAGCTGAGTTAGTAACATTTGTTTGTTCATTCAGCAATGCAACGGTATTATTATTACTTTTTAATATCTCTAACTGTTCCAGCACACACAGCTGCAGCCCTTTATTACACGTATGTAAGACTTTAAAGGAGTGGTCGTTGGCTAGGTTGTGTCCAATGTCCAAAAGATGTTTGGCAAAATGGGATTTATCGGGATTGCAACTCCTGTACGCGGCTAAATGCTCTTTATAACGTGTCTCGAAATTGCGACCAGTCTGACCCACGTAAACGGCGTGGCATTCGTCACAAACAAGTTTGTAAACACCTGACTTTTGACGAATATTAACTTATCTTTACTATTACAGATATTTCTAAGAGAATTGTTTGTTTTGAACGCCACATGAACGCCGTTTTTTCGAAGAGTATTAGCTACTTTTTCAGATATGGGACCTAAGTAGATCAAACTGCTCACATATCGATGAATACTTTGAGGTTGAACCGCGTACAGAGAGTTGCGAATAACATGCTTTTGTTTCTTTTTAATTAAATTGTTAATGAGATTTTTTGAAAAACCGTTAGAGACCGCTATTTGATAAATTATATTAAGTTCTTTTAAATAATTTTCTTTACTTAATGGGACAGTGAACAAACGTAACAATAAAAAGCGGCTACTTTATGTTGTCATGGATGACATGATGACGCGGGGATGACCGTGTCGGTGTGAGTTGGCTTTCGATAAATTTGGAAAACATGTGACGATTCTTTTCTTGTTATTGTTAAGTCAAGAAAATTAAGGGAACAATCTTGTTCCAATTCAAGGTTAAATTTAATTTTGTCATGGACTCTATTTATTTTATTGAGGAAAACATCCAGTTGTCTCCTTGTGCCAGTCCAGCAAATAATTATGTCGTCTACATATCGATAGTAATATAAGATATTTTGATTGACAACTATATGTTGTTTTTCGAAACTATCCATGAAAATGTCCGCCATAAGGGGACTTAGAGGGGACCCCATAGCTAACTCTTCTTTTTGTAGATAGAAACGGTTATTAAACCGGAAATAGTTTTGTTTCATACAGATAGAGGTTAAGTTAAGAAGATCATTTGTTTCCCCGTTTTTCAAAGAGATCTGCGAGTATACGCAAACAGTCAGGGGATGGGACATTTGTGAAAAGACTATCAACGTCTAAAGATAACAATATGGATTTAGGAGGAATACGAATATTTTTAATTTTGGAAATGAGATCTAAGCCATTTTTTAGGCTGTAAGTGGGGTTGAATCCAGATTTCTCTCGAAGGAGGAAGTTTAATTTTTTAGCAAGGAAATAAGCTGGTGCACCAATATATGAGACAACTGGACGAATAGGAACATGTTCTTTATGTATTTTTGGTATATATATTATGTTTACTACTTATGAATACAGTTTAATTATAGACTTCGAAATCAAACTCTGATCCTACGTCTTACTTTAAAAAAATATGGGTATAAACATTATAGACATAAATGAGAATAGAAAGAATGTAATTTTAGACATTTATAATACTATATTACTGCATAACAATCATAAATTATATGTTAACATACATGTCTAAATATTACATCTGAGATTATATTAGAGCATCTGACTTCTAAAGTAAAATAATCGAAGTAATTCGTAAAATAAATGTTGCACTCGTTCTACAGTTTTCAGGCATAGATGAGCCACTCTGAAAAATAATTAGGTGACGAAACGAGGAAAGTTTCTTCTGCGCTTTTATAGATGGCGTAGGGATTATAAATTACTGAAAATTACACTAGAGGGCGCTATCACCTAGGTTCAGTATTATTTCGTACATATTTCAATAAAATTAAAAGGAAATCAATTTAATTTATATATTAACTAATTTGTTTTAGGTAAACATTTATTATGTTTGTTTGAGAAAACCTTGGTGTGAATTGCTTCCTAAATTATAAATATATATATATATATATATATACCGGCGTATTTCAAAACTTTGCTAGCATGATTTAGGCTTCGGTATAAATAATAAATATCCACAGTGGCGCCATCTTTTAATAGATTATGTAAAAAAGTACTTTTACTGTGAGATGGCACTAGTATCAACATAAAGCAAGCTACTGAGGACTTTCATACCCCTGGTTATGTTTCGGTTGTAAACCATTACTACTGATATCGATATTTGAAAACGGTTTTCAATAACGATATGAAAACTAAATATCAGTTATGTAACCGTTGCAGCCAAAATCTGAAAACGCCCATGCTTATAAGAGTGTATAGGACAGTTACTATACTCTTTGAGCACAACCAAGGAACATACTACTCTCTAGCGAGAGGTCACAACACAACTCACAAGCTATTAGGGATGTCCGATATCAAAAATTAAACCATCGATGTTGCCACATGTCAAACATCGAAACATCGATGTCAATAAACCCCTAATCGATTTTTGGGAACTTGCAAACACTGCGAACCCGTGAAATCAATATCAACTAAATCTTGCATTTCAAAATATTTAAAATTTTGAATAATTCAGAATTCCTGAACGCCTTGATAACCTAAAAATGTATCATTATGGTGCTTATGGTGTATCAAATTTAACCGTCAAGTGTCAACTGTAATGTAGCAGTTGTCACTGATTTCGCTTAGTTATTCTGTGGTGTCGCTGTTAGTTGTGTGTTTCTTTGTCGATAGTTTTTTTAAAAATCCGATGGTTGATCTTGTTATTGGTTCCACTTGTCTAAAATTAAAAAAAAAAGCTTGGCATGAGATATTTGACCACAATCGCTACATCAACGCCAACTAAGCGGTTATCTACCGACTTCAAAAAGGAAGAGGTACTCAATTCGACTGTGTGTTCTTTTTTTAATGTGTGTTACCTAATAACTTTTTTTCTGGGTTAACCGATTTCGATGATTTTTTTTTTATTTGAAAGCTGGTGCTTTTCAAATGGTCCCATATAAATTTGATCAAAGTCTGACAAACATTTTTTGAGTTATCCTTAATAATTTATATTGAAGTCGGTTGTACAAAATTTTTAATTATTTTTAAAAGCTGGCTAAGCTCTTTATCAACAGAGTAACAGATTGAAAGGTACTTTTTTGTCAAAATCACTATTTCTTCAATCAATCGGCAAAAATATTGGACTATATAACAAATGAACTAGATATTTGTGAACTTCTTCCAATTTTTTTTAAATTTCTGTTTTACACTACATTGTTTATAAATTTATTTTATTTCATTAATTATAAACAATAAACAACGTGACTATTTTTTGTTCAGCTTGTCATACGGAATCTCTAATCGGAGAAAATTCCGTACGGAAAATTACCGTACGTGTGTGGCGGGTCACAGATTTTATATGGACTTGCTACGTTCGGAATGACGAACGGGTCGGCTACACACATACGGAATTCCGTTTTGACCACAAAATTTCGAACGGAAAACTACAGTATGTGTGTGACGGGTCTTAGATTTAATATGAACTTGCTTCATTCGGAATCTCAAATCAAAATTCCGAAACGGCATCCC